AGATTAAGACACTCCTAGGTAAACAGAAACTGAGGGAGTTCACTAGCACTAGACCCAACATACAAGAAAAGTGGCCGGGCGCGGTGGCTCATGCCTGTAATCCCAGCACTTCAGAAGGCCAAGGCAGGCAGATCATGAGGTCAGGAGTCCAAGACCAGCCGGACCAATGTGGTGAAACGCTCTCTCTACTAAATGTACGAAAATCAGCTGGGCATGGGGGTGCACGCCTGTAATCCCAGCTACTCGGGAGGCTGAGGCAGGAGAATCCCTTGAATGCAGGAGGCAGAGGTTGCAGTGTGCCGAGTTCACATCACTGCACTCCAGCCTGGGCAACAGAGCAAGACTCTGTTTAAAAAAAAAAAAAAGAAAAGCTATAGAGAGTCCCTGTCCATTCAGATTTAAATATAAGGATACCAGACAGTAACTTAAGGCCACATGAAGAAATAAAGACCTCTGGTAAAGGTAAATACATAAAAAATTATCAAAGCTAGTATTATTCTAAGTTTATGTTGTAATGCTACTTTTTGTTTTCTACATGATTAAAGAGACTCGTGCATTAAAAAGTTAGTAGTCTCTGTTTTTGGACACACAGTGCATGAAGATGGAATTTAAAGATACCAACAACTGAAAGGAGTGAGAACAGAGTTGTAAAGAAGAGTTTTTGAAGGTTATTAAAGTTAAGGTGGTATAAATTCAAATTAGAGTAACATAACTTCAGGATATTAAATATAATCTATACAAAGAAAACAGCTAGTGAATATACACAACAGAAAATGAGAATTAAAATGTTTCACGCAAAAATCACTTAAACACAAAAGAAGGCATTAATATAGAAAAAGAAGGACAAAAAAAGCAATGAGGCATATGGAAAATAAACAGCCAAAAGACAGAAATAAGCCCTTAGCAGGACTCACTTTAAATGTAAATGGATTAAACTCTCCAATCAAAACAAAGAGATTGGGAAAGTCAATTAAACAAAGAAACAAAATGCATGATCCAACTCCATGCTATCTCCAAAGCTATAAAGAGGGTAAAAGTGAAAAAGAGAAAAAAATATTCCATGAAAATATAGCAGTTCCCCTTATCAATGGAAGATATGTTTCAAGCCCCAGTAGATGCCTAAAACCATGGATAGTACCAAACTCTATACAGTCATTCCTTGATATCCGTGGGGGATTTGTTTCAAAATCCCCCTGCAGATAACAAAATCCACAGATGCTCAAGTCCCTGATATAAAATAGCATAGTATTTGCATATAATCTATGTACATCTTCCCATATACTTTAAATCATCTCTAGGTTATAATGTCTAATATAATGTACATGTTATGTAAATAGCTGTTACATTGCAATAGTTTTTGAATTTTTAATTTTATTGTTGCATCATTTTTTATTATTATTTTTGAGTATTTTAAATCCATATTGGTTGAATCCATGGATGTGGAATACAGAGAGCCAACTGCATATACTGTGTGTTTTTACCACACTAGATATGAGAAAGTTTAATCTGTAAATTAGGCACATCCTTTATGGATACTAAAAGTAGATTAAGACTGGGCGCGGTGGCTCAAGCCTGTAATCCCAGTACTTTGGGAGGCCGAGGTGGGTGGATCACAAGGTCAAGAGATCGAGACCATCCTGGTCAACATGGTGAAACCTCATCTCTACTAAAAATACAAAAAATTAGCTGGGCATGGTGGCGCGTGCCTGTAATCCCAGCTACTCAGGAGGCTGAGGCAGGAGAATTGCCTGAACCCAGGAGGCGGAGGCTGCGGTGAGCCAAGATGGCGCCATTGCACTCCAGCCTGGGTAACAAGAGTGAAACTCCGTCTCAAAAAAAAAAGTAGATTAACAACTACTATTAAAAGTAAATTAACAACAATAGTAAAATATAAAAATTGTAACGATATATTGCGATAAAAGTTACTGTGATACATGTGGTCTCTCGAAATATCTCATTTTACTGTACTCATCTGTATTTAGACTGTGGCTAACTGGAGGTAACTCAAACCATGGAAAGCAAAATTACAGATAAAACGAGTACTACCATAGCAACCAAAGGAGAAAAGGGGTGGCTCTACCAGTACCAGATAAAACAGACTTTAAATGAAAAGGCCAGAAAAGACCGAAAGAAGATTTAATTAATAAATGGGTTAATACAGCAAGAAATAACAATTAAAAACATTTGCATACCTAATAACAGACCATCAAAGTATGAGGCAAAAATGGAAAGAACTGTAGAAAGCACTGACCATTTTACAGTAACAGCTGGAGACTTCAATACCTTACCCTCTCAAAGATTAATACAACAACCAGACAGAAAATAAGCAAAGCAATATTAAGATTGCAATAACTCAACAAAACGACTAAATCTAAGAGATATACACAAAATACTCTATTAGATATACACAGAATACTTTACCTAACAACAGAATCGACATTCTTTTCAAGTGCACATGGGACATTCTCCAGGATAGACCATATGCTGGATTACAAATTAAGTATCAATAAACTTTAAAAAAGTATTTTCTCCAACTACAACATAAAGTTAGAATAATATAAAGAAAACAAAACAAAAAAAATCCCAAATTTATAGAAATTAAACAACAGATCCTTAATCAACAACAAAGGAAATTAGAAATATTTGAGATAAAACAAAAAGATGATATACTAAAATCTATGGGATGCCACAAAAGCAGTGCTAAAAGAGAAATTTAAAGCCATAAACGCTTATGCTAAGTAAGACAGATCGCTAACCAACAAACTAACTTTAGAACTTAAGGAACTAGGGAAAAAAAAAAAAAAAACTAAACCCAAAGCAAGCAGAAGGAAGGAAAAAAATAAAGATTATATCAAGGCATAAAATAAAGAAAAGTTAACGAACCAAAAGTTGGTTCTTTGAAAAGCTTAACAAAATTGATAAACCTTTAACTTGACTATGAATAAATGTATAAGGAAGGAAATAGAAAATCACCATTAGAACACCACAGTAATTATTATTATGTGCAAAATCCACTGATACGGATGTTCAATTGGTACATAAAAGTTTAAGAAAAAATACCTTATTTATACAGTCTCAGAGTATTTCCTCTAACATACTGATAAATTATGAAGGGAAAAATAGCAACTTTACAGTGAAGAAACACCACTGTAGTCAAGCAATCAAAGTTAACATCACCAGTAAAAAGACATCAACATCATTTCTTCTCTGAAATGATACTCTGAGAAGAGCACACCAGGAACCAAACCCCAGGTCTTATTATACCCCAAAACTTCATACTGTTAATCATCTTGCTTTAAATAAGCATATTTTCTTTCAAGACATTGATAAACAGATTTGTTCGGAGAAAGCACCAAGGTACTATATCAATCAGAATATTCTCTCATTTGTGAAACATAGCAATTCTGTACAGTTACTCAGAAAAGTGTAAGTAGTGAGAAAAGACAGTGTCTAATAGGATATTCCCCCGTCTGATGAATGGAAATTAACTAATAGGGTGCAAGTGAGGCTAGCATATGAAAGGAAAAACAGAATGGAACTGATATTTACTGGTGCTTGATACACAGTAGGTAGTAATATATAATAGGTAGTAATAATAATCATAGCAAATATAACAATACATATTTAATTTTAATTTCATTTGATCTGTAATTTTTTGTTGTTTATTTAATAGTGATGGCATATACTATTACATTTATTTATTCATTTAACCCTGAAAATAGCCATATGAGGCAGGTACTACTATTAGCCCTACTTTGTAGATAAGGAAATAAAGGCATGAAAAGTTGAGTTACTCACTAGGTGGCATAACCTACCCGCATTATACTACCTCCCAGAAAATATCAGCTTAATTAATAAGTGCCAGCTAGGATGCTAAATGCCTTACATATCCTAATCCTCAAAATATTCCTGTCCAGAGGTTTTATTATACCAAATTAAAAATAAAAATAAAAATAAAAACATGAAGGCTCTGATTGGCTGCCCAAACACTGCAAGATATTTAGCACATTTGGCTTCCACCTGGTAACTGTCAGAAATATCCCTCCTCCTCAGTCACTGTGATAAGCAAATATGTGCCCCCCACAAACATTTCCAAATGTCCCTAAGACAGCAGTACTTCCCCAAAGTACTGCTTTAAAAAGTATTGAATGTTAAAGATTATTAGGTGACATGTGAACCTAGGTGCGTATGATTCCAAAGCCAATGTTCCTTCCAATAAAGGCACCGACTTGTAAAGGAGTTGAGATCAAAACAAACGTACAAAGACAGGAAAACAAAGTTTCACAAAGTGTATGGGGCAATACACTCCAGATGAGGAAACTATAGTAGCAAATAACTGAAAATTACATTAGTCCGTAAAGTGTAACAGTAATTTATGTCATTTGTTGAAGTAAGACATAAAGCATGGACCAATTTGTAAAGTATTTGTAATATCTACTAAACAAATTGGGATTTCTTTCATAACTCTGAGTGAGAACTGACATCATGAACATGCTATTTATTTAAAAAGGTGTAAGTTGAATAAAGGTATGGGAGTAGGAAGTAAGTCTTCCTAAAATAATTTATTTTAATTTGACCAATCCAGTATTTTCAAATCTATTTAGGATGCTTTTCCATTCAGTGTTACATTAGCTTTAGAATTTATGAGTAAAAATCATCTATCCTACTCTAATCAATCTTAAGAAATTCAGAATAGGGGAAAATATTCAAAGCAATGCTAGCATAATTACGATATAGATCACAAAACATTCTCCCAAACACACAAACATGAACATTTCTATTTTCTTAAGAGACTAAAATGGCTTTAGTATATAACATGCAGATACTACGAACTTCTGAAAACATTTAACATTATAAATATTAACACACAAAAATTACTGTAGCAGTAGTCTACAACCATATTTTGGTTGTTTAATGGAATTTGCATGTAAATTCAAGAGCCCACAAACACATGCGCACTGCAAACAAAAATTTAGTAATCAACTTTAATAATCAGTTACCTTTGCAATAATGACTTCTTTCTTCAGGATCTTCATAGCATAGTATTTTCCACTTGCCTTCTCTCGAACCAAAATGACTTTCCCAAAAGTGCCTTTACCTAGTAGTTTCAAATAGTCAAAATCATTCATTGTCTGAAAAATACAAATTAAAAATATAATATGAAGTATTTGATGCGATTTATTTGTTAGCATATATGCATATGTTTGTAACATCCACTCAAAAATAAATTTTACCAATTTCTAAGCACATTTAAATGAAAAAGAATCAGACTGGCATTGGCTGTCTCATTAGCAACCATGGATGCTGAAAATAATTTAAGCACTTCTCAGATATTGGAGAAAATGATTCTGAATCTAGAATTCCTCAGCCAAATTATCAGTTATATAAAAGGGCAAAGGAGGGAAAGAAAAATTATTTTCACTCATTTTTAAGGACTCAAGTTTTCAAGGATTTAGGAGTGCTGCTATCCCCAGAAAATGTGATAATCAAAAATGTTCCACACAAACAATTTCCAAATATGCCTAAAAAAGCAGTGCTTTGGAAGGAGCTATCTGAGAATTTAGCAAAATAACGACAAAATCCAAGAAAGAAAAAGATGTAAGTTATATTTATAAGAAATGTTGAGAACCTCCTATAGCTCCGTAACCAGAAATCTAAGAAAGCAGTTGTTATTCTCGAGAGAATAATTGATGCAATTCAGAACAGCAAGGCAGGGAGTTCTAAGAAGAGCATCTTTAATTAATCTGCCTGTTTTCAGTTTCACTTCTCCTGCTTAAGTCAGGTAATTCCAAGGATTTTGCCAGTCACACTTAGCATTTGTCTCTACAGTCCCTTCTGTGTACACTTCGCTGGCTCTGCTCTATCAACATTCTTCCAGAAACTTCCAAACTTTTGAAAGCACTTGTGCCCTAATGCCCCTCCCTGACCCAGCTTTTCATTTCTGTGGACTTGCCTTCTTTTGAAATTCCTTTACTATCATATTAATAGGTTTTTGAATAGAAGAGGAGGTGATTGTATGTGGTCAGTTTACTTAAATTTATACTCAGTTTAGAAGTTTATAAATAACAAAATAAGTATTTAGGTTTTATCTTGAAATCACAAGTCACGGAAAGTTTTAGTGCCTTTTATAACTTGTTTTCTATCATTTATCTAAAGTAAACATGAGAAATGTTTCAAATCAATGTCTTCAGCTTCCACCTTAAGAAACTTTAAAAAAACAAATTAAACTCAAAATAATTAGAAGAAAATGATAAAGATCAGATCGGAAATCAATTAAAATTTTAAAAAGAAAGAAAAACAATAGAGAAAAACCAGCAAAATCAAAAGCTAGTTCTAAAAAACATCAATAAAAATTGATAAGCCTCTAGCTGGGTTGGTCAGAAATAGAGAGAAGCACCAACTGCCAGTATCGGGAATGACAGAGGTGGCATCACTACAGATTCTACAGATATTGAAAGAAACGTAAGACAAGCGGCATTTTGACAATAAAATTGACACCTTCGATGAAATGAGTGAATTCCTTGAAAGTCTCAAGCTATGAAAGTGCACCCAAGAAGAAACAAATAAATTGATAACCCTATATTTATAAAGAAAAATTAAGTTTGTGGTTAAACATCTCTCATCCAAGAAATTCTAGGTCCAAACGGTTTCACTGGTGAATTCTACAGGTATTTAAAGAAGAAATGACACCAATTTTATACAAACTCTGACAATTAAAACGAGGAACACTTCTCCTTCATTCTGAGGTCAACATCACCCTGATACTGAGATAGGAGTCTGGCAAGTCTGGTTTCCCAAGATGCAGGTCACAAAGACCCTGCTGATAAAACAGGATACAGTCAAGAAGCCAGTCAAAACTACCAAAACCAAGATGACCATGAAAGTGACCTCTGGTTGACCTCTCTGCTCATTACACATTATCATATGTAATTCATGCTAAAGGAACCTCCCATCAGTGCCATGACAGTTTACAAATGACATGGCCTATCAGGAAGTTACCCTGTATGGTCTAAAAAGTGGAGAAACTGTCAGTTCTGGGAATTCTCTGCCCCTTCCCCAGAAAACTCATGAATAACCCATCCCTTATGCACTATATAATTAAGAAATAACTAAAAAAACGGCCAACCAGCAGCCTTCAGGGCTGTTCTGCCTATGGAGTCGTCACTCTTTTATTCCTTTACTTTCTTAATAAAGTTGCTTTCACTGTATTCTGTTGCTTGCTCTTGAATTCCTTCTTGTGTGAAGCCAAGAAGCCATGTGGTCTCCCAGGCTGAACCCCAATTTTGTGACAATACCAAAATTAGAGGAAAACAATGCAAGGAAACTATATTCCAATATCTCTCATGCACATTATATAACAATTCTTAAAATTTTATAAGTTAATGCCTACATTCAGTTTCAACATTTTTTGCTGTTCATAATTTTGATAATTTTCCCCAAATGTCAAGTTATAGTGTCTTCATTCAATAATATCTCTAGTTCAAAGGAAAAAATAAAGTAGCAAAAAGATAGGGAAAATAACAAAATATATTTGTTTATGCAACTAAAAAATCAAACATACAGCTCTAAATACCAAATAAATCAGCTAGTGCCATTCGAACAAATAATAGGTAATATTAGATTTAACTTCATTAATAGAGTAGAAAAAATCAGAGATTACTACACAACAAGCTATTCGTGCCCAAAGATGGTGCCACAAATTCCCATCCCTCCCTGTATGCACATTCTACTCTTCCTACGAAGGGGTAGAGTCAACTTCCTCTCTCCCTAGGCTATCCTTGTAGCTTGCCTTGAACACAGAGTATGATTAAACTGATACAATGCCAGCAACAGACGTAGCCTTGAAGCCTGGCAGTCTACGCATTCTCTCTCTCAGAAAGCTCTAGAAAGCCAGCTCTAATGCTGTTAGTCCACATCATCCTGCTGGAGAGAGAGGCCATGTGGAGACACCGTGGAAGATAAGTTACCACTCCGAGACAGAGCCCAAGTGGAGGAGAAGCAAGATACTATAGTCAATAGTCAGCACCAAGGCCCCAAACATGTAAGGTAAGTTTTGTTGGATTTTCCAGCCCACCCATGTATCAGCTGTAGGCCGCTACTTGAGAGCCACGCATGGCAGACCAATAGAATGGCCCTAAATCCAAAATCATGAGATATTTACATGGCTATTGTTTTAAGACATTAAGCTTGAGGAAGTTTGTTCCACAGTGTGATGGTTAATAGCGGAGTGTCAATGTGATTGAACTGAAAGATGTAAGTATTGATCCTGGATGTGTCTATGTGTATGCTGCCAAAGGAGATTAAGGCTGGGAAAAGCAGACCCACCCGTAATCTGGGTGGGCACCATCTAACCAGCTGCCAGTGCGGCTAGAATATAAAGCAGGCAGAAAAACATGAAAAGGCTAGACCGACTTAGCCTCCCAGCCTACATCTTTCTGCCGTGCTGGATGCTTCCTGGCCTTGAACATTGACTCCAAGTTCTTCAGCACTGGGACTCAAACTGGCTTCCTTGCTCCTCAGCTTGCAGATGGCCTATTGTGGAACCTTGTGATCATGTGAGTTTAAAAATATGGATATGGATATATATAACGAACTACCTCAAATTTAATGTATTAAAACAATAGCCATGTAAATATCTCATGATTTTCTGTGTGTGTGTGTGTGTGTGTGTGTGTGTGTGTGTCAATTTATCAAAGTTTCATTTGGACATTATGCTCCTCATTTTTTATTTAAAAGCACTAGAAGTTAATACTTGCTGGGCCCTATTACTAAATATCATAGAAGATGAAATTGAATTATTGGGAGGTAAAAATTATAAAATAATTTGTAAAATGCTTTATGATATTTTCATATGAAAAGCCATATGTAATTATAAAATATTAATATATTCCTTAAGAATTGCAATTCTTAGCCAGGTGTGGTGGCTTACGCCTGTAATCCCTCATTTTGAAAGGCCAAGGTAGGTGGACTGCTTCAGTGCATGAGTTTGAGACCAGCCTGGGCAACATAGCAAAACTCTGTTTCTACAAAAAATACAAACATTAGCCAGGTGTGGTGGCAGGTGCCTGTAGTTCCAAATACCCGGGAGGCTGAGTTGGAAGGATCACCTGAGCCTGTGAAGTTAAGTCTGCAGTGAGTCATGATTGTGTCATTGCACTCCAACCTAAGAAACAGGAGTCAGGCTGTGTCTCAAATATAAAATAAATAAATAAATAATAAATAAAATTGCAATTCTTAAGGCAACAAGGTTTTAAAAAAAGTTAAGACAGCCTTAGGGAATTAAGGGAATTTACGTGGAAATTAATTTAAAAGCATTGTGATAAAATCAGAAACAGATTTCTTATTTAGACAAAATTTCAGAAAATTATAAAGTTATCTTTGATATCAAATGCTCATGTTCAGAATGGCATACACAATAATTATCCAGTCTTTACAAATGAAACGTAAGCTATTAAAAAATGTTTTATTCTTCTGGATATTACAGAAAAAGATACAGTTAAGTTTTTAATTTAAAAAAAAATAGGAGTATGGATACTCTCCAGAAAAAAAAAATCCTCCTCCAAAGCCTGACCTTAAGAATTTATGAGGGAAATACTTTATAGTTAAACTCCTCCCTTTACGTGTTTTAGGTTAAAAGATAAATGGGCATACATAACAAATGCTTAATAAATGTGTTCAAATCACACACATCAGAATATAAGACATTGTCTAGCCCACCAATTAGATTAAAAAATAAACATATAATCGATGAGGAACATAAATAACTTCTAAGAATACCACAGTATTAGCATATTTGTTCAAAAAGGATAAATTTCCAGATACATTTACAATGTAACAGCAAAATCAAGTGAGTAAAAAGAGAAGAGCTCTCATAAAGTTCACTCCTCTGCCTCCATCTCTGCCCACTTCCTCTGGTGCTCTTTCTCATGAGAAGAGGTGGAATTAATCTTATTACTCGACTTCTACATTGATTATATCACTTCTCCCTTTTGAATAGGCAGATTTATGCAGTGTGAGAGGATATGATTTCAGCAGGTCCAGCCATTGTCTGTTCTTGTCTTTCTTCTCTTTTACTATGGATACTAGCCACTGCTTTGAGTTACCGCAGCCAGGAATTAGGTGATACAATCCCAAGAACTGGAGTCAAGCTTAATGGGAAAAACCGGAGGCACTGCTTCTACTTTAAACCTAAATCATGAGATTATAGCCAGCTGATCCCAGAGAGGCCTATGCTAGTCAGTTAAAAATTAAGTAGAACTCTGACTCTCACTTGGCTTTTTATCCTTTTATGCTACACTCCTTCACATACTTGACAATGCATATAAGAATGGCAGCTTGGCTGACCAAGATTAGGCACTTCTCATTTCTCTAATCAAATTCCTTTGAAACATTATCTTTTAATGAAAACTTTCTTTTAATTCAAACACAGAACAGCACTTAAATCTGTTTGTGAAGTCCTTGTCTCTTTATCTACTACCCAACATCCTTCCCTTTCCAAACAAGTTTTTAACTGGCAGAGCAGACACTATGACAATACTCTACCACTAAGGGAGGTAATGAACTCTATTTCATGCAAGAAATAGCAGTCTGATCACTCTCGTCATAGCCACCATAATCAGTACCTATTCTTTTAATCCTATTGTCCTTTTGGCAAAAATTAAACAAAGAAGAAAATTTATCCTAATAATTAAAATACTATTTGTATTTCAGAATGTGTGGTTATAGTCTTAAAAATAACCCAAACTTCTGCAATTTTTTGTGATAATGGATATACATAAAGGTATAGTTCTAGAATCACTTACCTTATGAAAATCAAAGTAATATTTTACCACTGGAAGCTAAATCATTATCACCATTATAGAGTTAGTAGCGGTATGAATGTTCTTTTTCTGCACTAACTTCTGCAGTAAAACTACTTTAAATTATTGCAAAAAAAAAAAAAAAAAAACACAACCTCAAATATGTAAGATCTTTTAATTGTATACAGTTCCAATATCAATAGACAGCTTATTTATTTTTCTTGGTTCATGTATCTTGAGCCTCTATCATCTCTATAACTGTTACACTTACAAGCAAGTTCTATTAGTAATACAATTATGCAGATATTCTTATGATTATACTCTGTTTCTCAAAATATTATGAAAAACTGATGTCCTTATGTGACGTTTGGATATCAGTAAATTTCAATGTATAATAAAGCTTGGAAACTCTTGGAAAAATCAGTACAACTTCAGTATTACAACGTAGTGCTAGAAAGTGAGGACTCTGGAGTCTTACTGCCTGGGTTTAAGTACTGGCTCCCACCCTGTAATTGTGGGTAAAATTTCTTCATCCTTCCATTCTTTAGTTCCCTTAACTATAAAATGGGGTAATACTGGTACTTATCTCATATATGGTTGAGGTTCAAAACAAAGAAAAATGTTTAAAGTGCTTATGTAATAAGTGTTTGATAAATATTAGCTGTTAAAGTTAGCTAGTATTCTTTGTCCACATAAAGATAATTAAATATAAACATCATTCTAAAGCAGATTCTCTTATAATTTTCTTTACTGCAAATGAGTCTCCAAAATGAAAAATTTATAGAAATATTTTGAATTTGTGGTTCAATTACTTTATCATATCTAACTTACAGTATTCTTCATATAATTTTCAATGAAATAATTTACACATGCACAAAAGCAGCTTTCTTATCTCTTAGTAGGTAGGTGGGTGTAGCTAGACTTTTTTCTTTTTGCTATGACTGAGGAACAAGGCAGGTTAAATTGACGTAAAAGAAAAGAGAGCTTCAGTTCAACAAACAGAAAAAAAATCTACAATGAAGACAGAAAGGGATCTCAGACATTTGGCCCAAATCAAGTATAGACTATTACTGTAATTAGAACAGGATGTCACATTAGGAAAGCATAATTAACTTTATGTTGTGACTGTATAACTTCACCAAGTCCACAAGTTGAATGTGGAAAAGGATATGAACCCAGACAGTCTATCTTCAAAGAGTTCTGAATCACTGTGCTATCACCAAATTTCATGGATAATACCCTGAAAATCTGTTTTCCTTCCTGAAGATTAATTCACAATCTATTAAGCCAAATATACTCTGAAGTGATAAACGGCATGTTTATCTCTGTTCAATATCACTATCTTTAATCATAAAAATATCATTTTGGTACTAAGGAAGTTGTTTTTCAATTTTCTATAGTAATGAAAAACATAATTTATATTTCTCATAAATATATAAATTGGTACTTACTATGCTGGAGCACTGAGAGAAGGAAAAGTCTACTTCCCTTCTGGCTCAGAAGCAGCCATTAAACAAAAGTTATTATTTCCAAGACTGTTCACTTTCCTGCTGACTTTGCTAAGACTGAGGGCACCAATTTAGGAAATACACCTGAATCACTACTATTGGTGCTTTTTGGGACAACATGAAATGCAAAGTGGAAACGAACAAATCATCAGGGAAAACATTTTATTACAAAGTTTCTAAAATTGTATTAAAAAACAAGGAAGAATGCAAATTATAAAGTTGTATGATGGCACATCAATCACACATGAGCCCTATCAACACTCAGTGCTAAAGTACTGAATCACTGAAATGATACTCACCAATCTGGTTTCAAACAACAACATATATTTCAGATTCATGTGAATAAAACCCATCAACATATTTATATGTCATAAGAAAACTGGCTGCCATTTCTCTGCAAATGGTAGTTTGTAGTATGTTTCTCCCAAACAAATGAATGTTGTGCTGGGAATAAATTATTATTTCTACCTTTCTTTTATGATGGGTTGTAGAAGCATCCATCTCTTCTTCCCCTATGTTATCAATTTGTGAAGTTGGACTACAATTCATTCTCTCCTCTTCTTGCCTCTGTAGTCTGTCTGCTACGGCCTGGATAGCTTCTGTCCATTCTTCCCTATACAAACGAATACAATTTCCCATTAATAGAAGATGGCAAATTAAATATTTTCCTTTTTTAAAATAGGAAATCGATACAAATAAAATCTATTCACAGATCACACACACACACAACACACATAAGCATACACTCCCACCATCACCCCAAGGTGAAAAGAATCCTAAATGCATTTCACCACAGGCCTGAAGTCTATAGTAGCATTTTTTGGAAGTATGCTGAAGAAAAAGAGAGAAGAAAAAATTTTTTTGAAAACTCAAGTTAAAATCACTTAAATGAACAGTTAAATTTTATTTGACTGTATATACCCTATTTCTTTTTTTAAACAGTCTCACTCTGTCACCTAGGCTGGGATTCAATGGCATCAGCTCGGCTCACTGCAACCTCCACCCCCTGGGTTCAAATGATTCTCCTGCCTCAAGCTTCCTGAGTACCTGGGATTACAGGCATGTGTCATGACACTTGGCTAATTTTTATATTTTTAGTAGAGATGGGGTTTCACCATGTTGGCCAGACTGGTCTTGAGCTCCTGACTTCAAGTGATCCACCCAATGTGGCCTCCCAAAGTGCTGCAATTACAGGCGTGAGCCACTACACCTGGCCCATTCTAACTATTAAGTTGACCCCTGAAAGTTTGCTGCAGTTTTTAAAAGTGTTTTCCTTAAGCATTTTAAGTCCATAATTGACATCCTTAAGATTTTTATGAGGTCCAACAGACATTCCAAGGAAAGATTTTCAAAGCCAAAACCTTTCCCTATTTCCAGATCATAGTAAGTTTCTTCAAAAAAAAAAAAAAGAAAGAAAGAAAGAAAGAAAGAAATGAAAAAGAAAAAGAAATAATCACAGCTCACAGTTCGAACAATCAGTCTCAGGAGCACCTTTATCAAGCTTTATTTTTTTGACATTTGGCTATCGAATCAAGGGTCATGATTTTTCCATACAAATTGTATAATCAGCTTGTCTGCTTCTTAAGGTCTACTTGGATTTTGACTGGAAGTATATTAAATGTATAGATCAATTTCGGGGGAACTACCATCTTTAATTATTTAAATCTTCCAATCCATGAACATGGTATAGCTCTACATTTATTTAGGTTTTTAGTTTCCCAATGCAATGTTTGTAATCTTCTGTGCAAAGATCTTTCACATCTTTAACTGAATTTATTCCTACATACAGTCATGCACCACATAACAATGTTTCAGTCAATGATGGACTGCATACACAATGGTGGTCCCCTAAGATTATTATACTGTATTTTTACTGTACCTTTCCTATGCTTTTATGTTTAGATACAGAAATACTTAACCATTGCATTGCAACTGCCTACAGTATTCCGTACAGTAATTCACTGTATGGTTTGTAGCCTGGGGGCCAGAGGCTACACCACATAGTCTAGGTCAGGCGTCCCCAAACTTTTTACATAGGGGGGCCAGTTCACTGTCTCTCAGACCGTTGGAGGGCTGCCACATACTGTGCTCCCCTCACTGACCACCAGTGAAAGAGGTACCCCTTCCTGAAGTGCGGCGGGGGGCCGGATAAATGGCCTCGGGGGGCCACAGTTTGGGGACGCCTGGTCTAGGTACGGGGGGGCTACACCATCTAGGTTTGTTCAAGTAGTATGTTTACATAATACTGCCTAATGACATGTTTCTCAAAACATATCATTGTCATGAAGTGACACAAGACTCTTCATGCTATTGTGAAGGGTTTTCTTTTTCTTTCACTTTCTAATTGTTCTTGGTAGTATTTAAAAATACAATTGATTTTTGTATATTGACTTTGTACACTGCAACTTTACTAAATTCATTTATTAGTTCTAGTAGCTCTTATTTTTCTGGATTTTCTACACATGCAACCACATTGTAGGCAATCAAGAGCAGCTTTACTTCGTTTCCAATCCATAAGCCTTTTACATCATTTTCTTGCTTTTATTACCCTAGATCAGACCTTCGGTACAATGTTAAATAAAAGTAAAGAGAGCAGCATACACGCTTTGTTTCACAAGTTAGAAATAACACTGAGTTTTCACCCCCTTGAGTATTATATAAATTGCAGATCTTTTATACATACACTTACGTGATCACCTAAGTTCTGTTCTATTTCTAACCAGCTGCATTTTTTAATGAAAGTTTGTTGAATTTTGCCAAATGTAGGCCAGGTGCAGTGGCTCACGCCTGTAATCCCAGCACTTTGGGAGGCCCAGACGGGTGGATCATCTGAGATCAGGAGTTAGAGACCAGCCTGGCCAACATGGTGAAACCCTGTCTCTACTAAAAATACAAAAATTAGCTGGCAGGAACCTGTAATCCCAGCTACTCAGGAGCTGAGGCATGAGAATCACTTGAACCCGGGAGGTGGAAGTTGCAGTGAGCCGAGATCACGATATGGCACTCCAGACAGAGCAAAAGAGCAAGACTCTTTTTCCAATAAAAATAAAAATTAAAATAGTCAAATTATTTTTCTTTATCTGAATAAAATATTCACACAGTTTTTTACGTTTATTATATTAATAAGGTGAACTTAGCTTAACAGTTTCCTGATGGTAATGCAACTTTTAATTCTTGAGATAAGCTTCATTTAGTCACAATGTATTATCCTTTTTACCTTTTGTTTAATTTGTTGATATTTTGTTAACAAATTTTGCATATAATTCACAAGTGTATCGGACTATAGTTGTCTCTTAAAATAGTTCTGTCTGGTTTCTGAAATGAAGGTGATGGTGGCCTTCTAAAATAATTTGAGAAGTATTCCCTTCTCATTATCTTCTGAAACAGCGTCTATAGGACTGGTCAAAATTCTTTCTTAAATGTTTGATAGAACTCACCAATAAGGCTGTCTGGGCTTGGAAGGTTTGAGGAAAGGTTCTTAATTACTAATTCACTTCCATTCCTTGCTAATGGATTTTCTAATGTTTTCTTGGGACAGTGTCAGCAATTGGCATCTTCCTTCTTTTTCTTTAACAATATCCAAAAATGTTTTTCAATTCTATTCATTTTTTTCCCAAGAAGTAGTTTTGGTTTTCTTGATTATTCTCTACTATTCTGTTTTTCTATTTCACCGATTTCTGATTGGTATTGTTTCTTTCTGTTTTCTTTGGGTTTCATTTACTTTTCTGGTTTCTTAAGATGGAAGCTTAAGTTAATGATGTGAGAACTTCCTTCTTTTTAAAAACAGGTATTTAAGGCTATAAATTTCCCTCTAAGCACTCATTTAGTTACACCCCACACATTTTGATATGTTTGTTTTCATTAATATTCATTTAAAATTATTTTCTAATGGCTCTTGTGAGTTCTGTTTTTGAGTCAATGATTCTAATTATGTTGTTTAATTTCTAGTAAATGGCATTTTTCTATTGTCTTGTTAGTGAGTTCTAATTAATTCTACAGTGATTACAGAACACACACTGTATAACGTTAATCTTCCAAAATCTATTGAGAATTTTTTTATGACCAAGAATATGCTCTATCCTGATCAATGTACCATGCGTACTTGAAAATGTCTGTTCTGCCACTTTTGAGTGCAGTATTCTATAAATATCAGGTACATCAAGGTGGTTGATCATGTTATTACACGTCTTAGCTGATTTTTTGTGTAGCTGCTCTACCAAGTGCTGAGAATTTTTTTTATCTCCAAATATGGTTGTGAAATTGCCCATTTTTATCCCTTTACTTCTGTTACATGTGTTGATGACTACTATATAGTCCTGTTCAATAGATACTTTTCTCATTATAAAGTATCCTAATAGTCGCTGGTAATACATTTAATCTGAAATAATACAGCAATCCATCCTTCTTATGCTTAGTCTTTCCATGATCAATCTTTTTCAATCTATTTATTTTCAACCTATATATTTATCTCTTTTTCTCCTTTCCTGCCTGTTTTTTAAAAAATTATTTTATGTTGTCTCAGAATTCCATTTAAATTTTCCTGTTGGCTTTTCAGTCATCTTTTTTGTAATTATTTATATGTATATCCCTAACTTTATATGGTCCACTTATATAATATATGCCAGAATAATTTTTTATACTTCCATTTCTTCTCCAATTAGTCTGGTAGCCACCATACTCTATCCTTTCAGTAGCTGTAACTGAAATTATAGTATTTAACCTTGACTTAGCAAAGTCTACAGCAACCTCCCAAAAAATTAACTCCATTTTTTGTTGTGAACTCAATTTGTTATTACTTCAGATACTTTTCATTCTTTATATAATTAAACCACAAAAAAATTGTATTTAAAATCAATGCTTATTTTTAATTATTGGTTCATTTAACCATTTTGTTTTTCATTCCTTTCTGTATCTATCCTCCTATCTGAGATTATTCTTATTCTGTCTAAAGAATACTAGGTTAGTTATTACAGGTGTGCTAGTGACAAATCCTATCAACTTTTTGGGGGGTGGGGGAAACAGGCTGGTCTGGAGCTCCTGGGCTCAAGTAATCCTCCTGCCTCAGCCTTCGAAAATGCTGGTACTACAGGCATGAGACACAACGCCCAGCCTCTATCAATTTTATTACTAAAAATACTTTCATTTTACTTTTATTTGTGGGAATACTTGTTTCTTAGCATTTATTTTCTTTCAGATCTTTGGGAATATCATTCTATCATCATCATTCCATTTTTTGGAACATCACTTCCATTATATTTCATTATTATTCCATTCCACTTATTAATACATTACCTTTTGGTCTATTTGTTGCTGCTCTGAAAGCGAAGTACATTTTTTTCTCTATCTACATTGGGGATTTTCCCACTCTCTTTCTTGTTTGCGTTTTTGTTTTTTTTATTGTTTTTGTTTCTTCAGACAAGGTCTCACTCAGTCGCCAGGCTCTAGTGCAGTGGCACAATCTCAGCTCACTGCAACCTCCACGTCCCGAATTCAAGCTATTCTCCTGCCTCAGCCTCCCAAAACTAACTGGGATTACAGGCACATGCCCAAACCCAGCAAAGTTTTGTATTTTTAGTAGAGATGGGGTTTTACCATGCTGGCCAGGATGGTCTC